GGCAAATATGTTTAGCAGAGCTGTAGAAAGTGTGACAGTAAGAATAAATACATATCTAAGCCACAGTTTAAGATGAGTAGTTGCTTAGACTATTTATTGGAAAAAACTGTGAGTAATTTCAACAGTCACAATAACTTATACTCTACTGTTAGTGATGCATGGAACAAGGAATTTAAAAAAGCACAAGGAAGAAAATAGCATGTCAGGTTTATATCTCTGATGCTATTAAGATTGTTTCTTTATACTTTGGTACAAACAGCTAATTAGCTGTGAAAAGATTTATCTAGATAATCGTTGAATTAGTGTTTTGGAATTGTGTACTATACCTTTAAAATTATAAGCATCTAAGTTAGTAGGACTCGTAAATAAAGCAAATGATTATAACAACTACAGTATTTTTGTTTTAAGCAGCTCACTCCAAATGTCACAACAGATTTACATATTTCAGTATTTTTTTTAAATAGTAAATACAATATAAAAGGAAATGTCAGTAGGTAAATTAAGTCATGTTTTTGATTTAAATGTTGTTAGAAGATAAAATCTGGTGCTCAGCAAATATTCTGTGTCAAATGTAAATGTGTTCAATTCAATGACATTTAATAAGACTGCTCTTGGCATTGGGACATTCATTAGTCTACTGATCTGTTCACTTGTGCAGGTCAAACTCACCCAGCCAATCAGCCCTGGTCTGAGCTCACAGAAATATTTAAGGTCAAAGTCTCCGATCCGAGGATTTAACTCCCGTCCGATGAAGAAATCATACAAGGGATTTCCTAAACAAAACAGAGAGATGAATATTTTAATAAATTCACAGGAGGATTTGAAATACAGTATAATTGTGCTCTTACAATGTCTGCAGATAAAGGGTGTGAATACAAAGTGGAAATGGAATTAATATCAGCTCTCAACAGGCATTATGTCAATTACTTTATCCCCTAAACCAGCAAACAGTTAATTAGCAATTAGCTGAAACTCACTTGCGGCAAGAAGGTTATGTTTTCATCTGCGTTTGTTTGTTTGTTTATATGAACGTCCGTTTGTCAGTCTAAAATAAGCAGAATTACGCAAAAACTACAAGAAAGGTTAGCATGAAACTTGGTGGAAGGATGCAGTATGGGTAAGGAAAAAATCCATAAACTTTTGGTGCAGAACTGCATCGATTTCACATATAATGGACCATGTGCAATTTGGTTAAGATCCAAATGAAAAAGTGGATCTAGTGAATTTAACTGTTGAGGACAGGGGCGGTATGTGCTCACCATCCTGTATAATGTTGATCATCATTTGTTAAGTGTGTTGCTTGCAAATGTTAACATTTGCAAATTAGGACTAAACAATACAACAGCAGCAGATGGGAATGTGGAAATTGGTCATTAAACAAAGGATTCTGCTAACATGGCAAAACATGCAAAACATCTTGTTACCATCCATCACTGGGTTTGTTTAGTTTGCTTCTCTTTCCTACATTACATGCATGTTGCATTTTCACATGTTAAATAATTTCATGTTATTTGAATTTTTTTCCTGTTTGACTTGATTTAATAACATGGTACTGAACAAGCCCTGCTTACTTAAAAGAGGCTGCTCACTTCATGCCTGCGGGCTCCTGTGGATCTTGGCCGTTACATAGTTACCCACAGGAATACCAAGATCCTTCACTGAACAATAGAACAGGCGTTTAGATGCACAGTGCATCACCGGTGGCTGTTTAAAATAGTATTTTAAGCTGGATTCTTTCTTCAGTGATGAAGCTCAGCGCTCACCTGTGTTGCCCCCCAAAGCGAGAGCATGGGAAGGCTCCCAAAAGGAGCGGATGTAGAGGTAGACGGAGAGCAGGAAGGACATGGCTACTGCGCTCACTGCCAGAGGCAACAGCAGCTCGAACAGATGCCCAAGAGGAGCCCCGAGCCCCAGAAACAACATCAGCAACACGCCGCTGACGCACAGGCCATGAAAACCTGAGAGAGACACACAAACAAAACTAAACATTGGAGCACCGGGGGAGAGAGGTAAGCCCACTGACACAGGCTAGTATTCAACCAAACAGGCAAAAGTTGGAAAAGGTGGATTTCACATTGTGGAGCTAGAGTAAATTAAGCTCAAGGTCAGACAGTGTAAAGGTGAAACTAAAAGAGAAATATCTGAGTCTTCCTGAAAAAAAACAGCTGGTTTATATTTTTCGACAGTTGAAGTTTTACAAATGTGAACAAAGCATTTGCACATTGTGTACTATTCAAACATAGCTATACATTATTATAGCATTTATTATAATTTGACTTTACTGGACTACAGTACTCACATTAACTTGTCTCTTTAGTGATAAATACTAAACGACAAACTCCACTTTACCATTTATGGGATACTTGAGGCGTGTTCCATCCCTCAGCACTAATCCTTCAGACACCTGCAGGCATATTTGCTTATTATTAAAATTCAACCACAATTATTAGTTCCTTTGTCACAGTATTCACTTAACGTTACATAGTCTAGGTTTAATGACTGTCGTTGTTAGATTTTAATAACAATTTAAACAACAATTAACATATTATCACAATTTCTGCAATATACAGCTGTAATGATGGACAATATTTTGTTATTTATTGGTATTAAAAATCACCCAAATCATACCCTCAAAAATCAACTTTTCAGCCCACGACTTCCAAAATGTAAATGAGACTACGATCTCCATCATATCAGTGGATGTTGATTTGAGCAAGTTCATAATCAATTCATCTACATGCACATGTTTAAATGTTTCCTGCTGCAACTGATGCCATCACTAGTCTGTTGTAGTCACCTCAGAGGTCATATGGGCACAAAGAAAATCAGAAGATTATTTGCATGATTTTATTTTGAATTTTCCCCTGTGCATTTTAGCTTTTGGAAAATAAGATATTGAAATTTGTTTTTCAATGTATTGATTTCAGGAAATCATCTCACCACCCTCCTTCTGTGTTTCACAAACCCCCAGTGAGTCCTGTTTAGGAACCACTACTACAGACCACGGTTCACCAAATCACCAAAAGATGGTTTTAATTTAGGTTTAACCTTGATCCAGGCTGATTTATGTTATCTTACCTTTCCTAATGGCATCAAGTAGAGGAGGGCATGCAGAGCGATCCATCCCAGCAGAAGCAGGGGGGCCAGAGGGTCCCACAGCTCGTCACTGGAGGGGAGCAGAGGAGGCCATTGGAAGACAGAGGCTTCGGGGGATCGACTCATACAGATCAGGAACAGCACCGTCAATGGAAGAAAGATGGGAATGCATAAAGCACCTGGGAAGTGAACACATTAAAGTGAGATGACAGACTGGGTATGATTGGAACAGGTAGGAGGTATAGGCACTGAAGTTTAAAAACATGTGAAACAGCAACATATGGAACACATCTGAACAATCTATAACATACATGTTGCAAATGTAGATTATTAACGGTGAATAACTAGAGCATCTCAAATGACTGTGTAATAGTAATGTGTAATCGTAGTAATTCTGCACTCACCTTTTGTAAACAGAAGTGAGAAGAACTGACGCATGCTATAAAACGTGGTGGTCATGGTAATGTAAAGGCAAAACGTCTTAATTAAAGTAAAAGTGGAGGTGTGGAGGAGGTGCTTGGGTGAGATGTCCCCGCTATGACTCACCCAGGGTTCCTCCAAATTCCCTCTCTGTGTCATGTGAGGATCTGTGTTTGGATGCTTGATTGTTGGGCCTCATCATTGGACTCCTGTGAAAAGACAGAGGCAGATGTATCTCAGTCAAAAAGAATGAGAATTAAAGAACAAATAAATACCAGTATAATGTTGAGTTGTTAATACAGGAAAAAAGATAGTTACGTACATTTTCTACAACTAATATCAAAAATGATGCATTTGTATAATCTGCAGTAAAAAAGTGCCTATACACATCATCTTGTCTTGTGCAACTTATGTTATAAATAAGTGTAATGCTTTGTTTACATCTCCTAACTGAGTACTGGCCTCTTCATAAATTAACATCCTTGTTAACAGCAGAGCTGCAGCCCCACAATATTTGATCTTTAAACATTTTACTTGCAACTGTCTTCAATTTTTAAGTGTATCAATCTTTGTCAGAAATTATGGAATAAAGGGATTTTACAGTAGCATGAAAGATTGGCTCGCTCCGTATCATGGACTACCTGCATTTGCCATACATTCTGTAATACGGGCGCACTTGAAATCAGGAAAAGACGAACGTCTGCTCACTTGACCGCAGTGAAAACTTTGAATGGGACTTTTACCTCTGATACAGAGTGCAGTTGCTTGCAGAGTGCAGTTGCTTGCGGTACTTTTACTGTGATATAATTCATGATGAGGACTTTTCTCGCATCCTTGGAAGCAGCCAAGAAAAGTCCAGAGACTTCACATGGATCAAGGACCTTCTACATGTACTGGATCACACTATGAGGAATATTACATGTGCATACTAATGTTATATCATCGCGACAGCTGTCTCAATACTTCCAAAGTTCAGAGCATTTCTGTTCAACTTCCCCCGGTGATGCAGAGCTGATCCAAGAGCAGTAAACAAACACACACTGTGCAGTAACACGAGTGCAGAGAGGAAAACAGCTGCTTACATTAAAACACAGAAAATAAATGGGACATCTTACCGGTGAGTAACGTGGAGCTGCAGGTAGAAGAGTAGTAACTCTGTCATCCATCCATCCAGCAGCCTGCACATGGAAACGCCCCCGACGTACGATTTGTTTCAGCAGGAAATCGCCTTTCAGCCAATCAGATTGCTCCGTGGTCATCAGAAGAGGGTGGAGAGAAGAGGGTTCAGCCAATCAGATGAGGTGTTCAGGTGGCGACAGTGCGCTGCACACTACGTTGGGAGAGGGCTGGGGCTGGTTGTGAAACACCTGAATATCATGAGTTGTTTTATTATAAATATTATAAATACTTGAAATTCTATTCTTACTATGTTTTCTTTTACTTTGAGACTCATGCAGACTTGTAGAGGAACCACACACTTTGACTCATTCATTCAGACACTTTTATTGTTGACACATCAATTCAAACAGTGTTTGTCTGTGTAAGACATGCACAGAAAAGAGGGAACAGCCTGAAGGAAAGAAACGCTGTAGTTACTTCAGTGTTAGACATAAATGGCATAATCAGACAACATTCACACCTCAAGTTATTCAGCAGAAAGATACCATAGAGAATTAATTAATACATAGCATTTCCAACAGACACAACTGTTTAATAATTCATATATGTTTTCACATTTCCTTCAATGGGAACATGTGGTTAAAAGCTCAGCTGGTGTCATGGATACAAGGGGCTTCCCCTCTAAAATCTTATGATTATTAAATGACCACCTTGACATTTAACCAATGTACTAGAGGCTTGTCATGCTCTTTGCATGGGAAGTGCCTGGAACGCAATGTAGATTTTCCTCAAACTGTCAGTCAGTGTCGATGTATATGCCTCAAACAAAAGATGATCACCTACAGTATAATTTAGACTCACAATCTCAATTTAGATTCTCAAAAAGGCAGCTTATGAATCAGATCAATACATTTGACATTGTGTTAACTATTTCAATTGAATGCAGTTTTCTGTCTGTTGCTTCAGCTATCTTGTCCGTGCTGCGCTTTGACCCTCAACCTCGTTCACAGATGACTTCGATCACACTCTGCTCCATCGGGGCAGGATCCAGGCAGCGGTGAGCGGAGCTGCCCACTATCTCATCCAGAAGAAAGTGCACCAGGTTCTCGTCGGAGACAAAGCGCCACAAGTACATCTGCAGGTAGTGACAGTCGACCTGGATCTGCTGCAGCCCGTAGCGTCCGAACGTGCGCAGGCGGACGCACTCCAGGAACGTCTTTAAACTGATTTTGATGATTCCCGTCATCACAGAGACCTGAGGCGATGGAGGGCCATGTAAAGAGAATGTTTTCAGCTGAAGAGTAAATTAAGATTCAACAGCATTGAATAAGATTCAACAGCATAATAAACTGGACTCACCTTGTTGAACTCTACCGAACTGAAGATGTCGATCCTCTCAGAAAACAGCTTGTGGATGTTGCTCAGCAGATTGGTATCCATAGGAGCGCTGCGGACAAACAGAAGATAAATCCCTCAAGCAAATTCACAACCAAAGCAACAATTTTCTTATGTAAAGAGATTGCTCAGTGTTAATTGCCCCCCCTGCAATACAAATGAAGGAGGTACTACAGATTGGAGCCATGTTTGCATCTTTATGCTATTCACACACAACTTTCAAACAAGCCTTCCGCTGGACTATAGGTCTACCTAATTTTGGCATTTTCAAAATGATTACATATTGGGATAAAAAGAAGAGGAGCTCAAATATTAATATAATTATCTGTACAAGAGACAAAAGACCCACAAGTTACAAGGGTGGCCTCAATGCACACATTTGCAGCTGAGTCACAATAGTGACTGGAACGCTGATTTGCAAAGATAAAGAAAAGAAGCTAAAAATGACTTTGTATGTAAATTTAGTTTTTTCTGAAACACTCTTTTTCTTATTTGCTGAAATCCTCTTAATGTACAGAAAGCCATCAATGAATAAAGTCATCTGGAAAAAAAGCCAGTGTCTGTGGTCCTCGCAGGACTGTAATATACACGACCAATTCATTCAGTCTGAATGAAATGATCTAGGTCTCAGATTTTGCAAAGAGCCTCAGACTTACATACAGTATCTTGCATCTTAAATTATGCATCTCACACATCAGAGAAATGACAGTAACTCACTGTATCAGAGTCAACTCAAAGTTAGCCACATGCCAGTGAAACACTCACCAGCAACATTGCAGACTTCATCATTCTATCACAGAGAGTTTGATATGTTGTTAATACTGCATATGAAAGATTGTCAATAACCAAAACTAAACCGAGGCTGCTGGAGGACTCCTCTCTTTCTCAGTCAGTTTGTAGCTTATGTACCTTGGAGTGTAGCTAGCCGCATAGCGCACTTGCTGCCTCGAGCTACTGTAAACAGAGAAAGTCCTTTTGCTGGAGTCGCTGCTGTGTGCCTTCCTCACACCTTCTTCATATAAAAGCCCCACCTACAACAGAACACAAGGATCGTAAGAGCATGAGAGCATAACGACTGGACTGGAAGACATGTTATTCAGTTCCACAGCTTTACCTGCACATCAATTGAGGTGGTGTCCTCTACTACTCTCTTCATCACAGCGCGGACATTTCTAGGCTCGATGGTGTTCACCCAATCTCGTGTTTCAACACTCTTTCTTAGCATCTGGGAGATAATCAGACCCTGAACCTGCACAAACAAATGACAAAATACACCATAAACACATTGGTGGGAATATCTGTAGTATTTTCCTGCTCTGATATATGTTGTCCCTCAGTGAATATTGCTGGTGAAAACTGACCTTAACATAATGGTTCAGTAGTTTCTGTGCTGCCTCCCTGGCTTCTGCACATAAAGTTGTGACCTGTGTTACAGGACTGTGATGCTGTGAAAGTACAAAACACCTGCAGGTTATTTTTTAGAAATGACCTACTTCAATTTGAGGAAAATCTTTTTAAAAATGCATAATACCGATAATATGCTGCATTTTTAAGGTGAGTGTTACCATTTACCTGCACAAGGAACTGTTCGTCTGTGAGTGTGAGTATGTAGGAGATGGTCGAGGTTTCATAGTCTAAGCAGAGGCGAGACAGCAGCAACAGGAGGGCCGGAGGAGTTGAACCTCCTTTGTCTCCTGCGCTCTCACAGAACTGGCGAGAAGACTGACAAATAAACTTGATAAAATTCACCACCAGACTCTCACGCACACCCCGACTACAGAATTCACCCTGTGGGGAGAAGATAGACACAAAAGTGGGGGGTTACAATTTTACAGGATGGATGAAATTAAACCATTAGTTCATTGGTAGTTCATAGTATTCTGTCATTATTTTATCAATCATGTTTTCATAAGAAGTCTTAGCTACTAGTTAAGTTTGGGCTCCTATGGGGCAGAGAGCAATATGTTAATTTATCTGCTGATATACAGCAAAAGAACATTCACCTTGAAGTAAGGCTTGTTGGAGAACGTAATGTCCTTAGCTGTGAAGAGATGCACTGATGCCAGCACTGACTTAATCTGATTGAGAATAGAGGCTGATAAGGAGGAGAGCAGCTCCGGCAGGCTGGTTGGTGCATCTCTACCAGATGCCGGCCCTCCATGAAGAGCACCGCCGCCAGTCACTGAAGCACCAGCCACAGAGAGACGCGGTGTCGCCAAAGCCTGCCTCACATCTGTCAAGCTGTCCAGGTAGAAGGTCTGCAGAGCAGACAGGTACTGCTTGACTCGCTCTGTCGCCGCCCGAATCACAATCTCAGTCCCCTTGTTGGGCACAGAGGAGCCCGGGAGTAGTTTGGCCACAGCCTGAAGTCTGCGGTGGAAGCGGTCAAGTGCACGGACTAGGAGAGAGTTATCTCCAACTCCTTTCTCCTCTTGTATCCTCCGCTCCACGAGTGAGAAATACCGAGCTGCCAGGTCATCCACAAAGGCATGCAGCTTGCCATTTGCCATCTGTGGGATATTTTTAGATGCTAGCTCTTCTGTCTGTGCGTGGTTGATAAAAAGTTCTTGATATGATGTAATTAACAAACATAAGCTGCTGACAAATTCATTGCAGCCTCTGTCAATGAATTCCAGGATGTCAGTGTTTGAGGTGGGAGAAGATAGAGAGCTCGTTTTAGGTGAGTTATCATCTGGAGATCGGGCACCTGCGGTCGATGATGACCCGCGCACTGGAGCATCTTTCACAGCTGAGGCGAAAGAGTATGGTCTTATCTCTGCTTCCAGGCCCTGAAGGTCCGACTCGAGTCGAGCTCGTGCATGGCTCAGGAATTTATCACAGAGCTCCTCAGCTGGCTCGTCCAACTGTAGCAGCAGCTCCACACACTGTGATAAATCTTTGGCGCTTGATCCACCGTCCCTATGAGCACAAATAAACATTTTTGACCTACAGGAATCAGGAAATAAGGATTTTTAAATCTGTTGATGACAAAAATATCTTTACCATTGCAGCATTGTACACATGTTCATATATGGAAAATTGTTTAGAAGAAAATATGATCTTATGTCCACAATATAAACCTCAAAATGTATGATTATTTGTGTTTAAATCT